CACATCTCCACAAGACTCTAGTTTTAAGTGTCACCCATGAAAGCATTCTAAAATCCAACTCTACAAGTCTTTTGGCATACAAATGTTAATATCAAAACACTGAAACAAGAACTACCATCCTTTAGTAGCAAGGGGACAGTGAATGAACAAGTGATCTAGAGTCTCTGCCCCTTTCCAACAGAGATAGCAAGCCGATGGGGACAGAGACCAATTCGGACACTTTGGAGCTTCTCCTGGGTGTTTAACGCACGATGAGCTAGGGACCAAAGAAAGACCTTCACCTTTTTTGGGATAGGGTCCTTCCTGTTATCAGAGAGGAATTTAATTTGGGAGGATTTTCCTTTAGCTTGAGGTATGCAGACTTTGTAGTGAAGTGTCCGTTTGGGTCCGAAGGCCACACTGCTACATCTGTTTCATCTCCTATCTCAAAAGCTTCCAAACGTTGAACCATTCTCATCCAGTTCTCAATTTCTCTGTCGAACAACCCTCTTCGGAAGCCTAGATCCCAAGTTCTCTGAACATTACACCAGCAATCTGCTATCACAGCCTCAGGTTTAAGAGAAATGGCAAACAGCCCTGGGAAATATTTTTATTTTAGACCTTCAGCTAGAAACTATTGATTTCTGTTTCTAAACTAGTTATTTGTTTGATTGTTTCCTTGTCTCGTTGTAACAATCAGAACCTGCCAGCACAGTAATATGCGGAACTATTGCATCTGTCAACTGAGATATCAAGTTAGATCATAATAAGTTTGTTAGCATGCATGGTAGTTTTGATACAAGTATATAATTTTAGAGTCGGCCCTAAGGGGTAGTCTAGTTGACAATAACTTGGGATCTCTTGGTCATACTGGCTTATAAGTCTCAAGTTCGAACCTTCCGATGAGTTAATACCAAAAATCCTTAATGTCTCTCGGGTTCGGGTCTTGGGGCGGGTGCGGGTGCCTCTGGGTATGAGGGAGCAAAGCTCCGACTCCCCAAGTTTTTGAACTCTCCCTTAATTTCCGTTCTTTGGAAATTCTCAATTCCAAAAAAGGCGAAAGTTTTCCTTTGGATCCTAGCCAACCGAGCTGTAAACACAGCAGATAGACTCCAGCGAAGATGTCCAAATTGGGCTCTTTCTCCTTCCATTTGTGTTCTTTGCAATCAAAATGAGGATACCATGGATCACATTTTTCTTCACTGCCAGTTTGCTCTTCGTGGGTGGTTCTTTCTGCTGCAAATCTTTGGGTACTCCATTTGTTTGTCTCAGAATATTGATGGATGGACGAATGAAGCTTTTCGGGGGTGTCATTTTAAAGGGAAAGCAAAAATTCTATGGAATTGTGCAGCTAGAGCCCTTATTTGGAACCTCTAGATGGAAAGAAACAATAGAATTTTTAAAGATAAGTCCTCTTTAGAAATTTTTTGTAACACTGTTCAATTACACACGTCTTGGTGGTGTTATAGGCATAGAAAATTCTTTTGTAATTATAGCCTCTCGTCAATTATGCAAGATTAGAGTGCTTTACTTCACTAGTTTTTGGGAGGGGGAGCCCTCTTCCC